AAAAAAATCTTTTGACTTCTCTTTTTCTGACTTCAGCGACAGTCCTGCTGCGGGTGCCCTTAGCCCAGTTTCATTCATCCAAGTTGTGGCCTTGCTTGCGCCTTCCGAAGACACTTTTCTCCCCCCACTCCCCCGTTTTTGATTGATCTTGAGGGGGGGCTTTCAGGTTTGGAGGGATAAGCGAACCAGCAGCCCGTTCACTTGAGGTGATGGCGTGGCCGAGGACAGGGGCCGGCGGCCGAGGCAGCTCTTCGTCCTCTGTTCTGGGTCGGGCACTCCAGTCGTCGCTGAAACCCCCATTCTTCCGAGAATTTGGTAACGTAGTGTGTGGTGTATGCACTCCCCTCTCCCCACCAGGTATAATAAAAAACAAGAAGCGTTGGTACTTCGTCTGAATTTTGGAAACATCTTTCTACAGCGGCAGGGATGTGGACGCATTTTATGTTTGGATCGAGCTTTGGGTCATTTTCGAAGGGTAACTTACCGAGTTTAACTGAACCTGGGATCATCGTCTAGGCTGTATTGAAAAATTAATGATCACGGAGCATGGAGAGGTTGTTAACGAGGTATGCTTGGTCGTCAGGGAAAGGACACCAGGGCCGCCTGATCAGGTCATGAGAGTCTGTTCAGGCGTGCCATTGTGTCCCCAGGCTTGGTCTCCCTGCACTTCGGAGAAGTTAAGATTGTATTGTTTAGCGTGTTTATATTCCTCTGCCTTGGCTCATTACCAGAATATAGAGCTTTAAGAGGAACAATGAAAAAAAGAAAAAGACCAAATTATTAAAAAGAACATTTTTACTTAAGTGGAAATTGCTTGAGCCCTCCCTTTAACTGTGCTTTTTAGGCAGTATTTAGGAAATGTGGTTGCTGAAATTCCTTCATTACTTTTCTTGTTTTAGGGAGGTAGCAGGTTAGGGTGTATTTGCTCATTTCATAAATCTTATTAAAATGAAGATTCTGTGTTGTTCTTTGGTTAACATGACTTTAAGTATGTTGGTTAAATGTATTTCCTTTACCATGCTGCTTGTTTTCTTTTTTGCTTTTCTCTTTTAACACCCAGTATTCACAATTTCCAGGTGTGGAGCATAGTTTTTATTCCAGTTAGATACGCCAAACCTGGTGTAATTTGGTTAAAACAATGATTAAATGCCTTCCTTGAAATATTTGAAGGCAGGGGACAAAAACACTTAGAAAGTAGATAATTCAGAATGCCCTATAGGAGGAGGCATTAATGACAGTAGATAAAATGTTGTAACTATGTTGAAGTTGTGTCCAGGGAATCTTTGACCTAAATAAACTAAGATTAAACAGTAACAAAAGTTTGTCACTTTTTTATACAAAAAATTATCTTAGAGTTAGTTGTAAATGGGTAAAATAAAGACTTAAAAGGTTTTGCTTGTTTTCAATTTTAGCAAAATTGGATTCTAACCATAGGGTGACTTCTTGAGGGAAAATAACAGTAGGCTTCTTTAATGTAAAATCCACTGTGAGCTTGCACACCTTTAGCAGGCTCTAGGGAAAACTCACCTCCAACCTGAGGCAGTTTGTGCTTCTGTTGCAGAAAGGCTATTGCAGATCCTTAATTCTCAGTTGTCATATCTTTTCATGTTTTCAGATTCTGGGAAGTACACTTAACAGTGTGGTCCTTTAATATGATGGTATTTTCCTTTCCATCCTCCATATAATCCATTTATATGTTTCAGAATTGAGGAAATATATTAAACAACTTTTGTAGCAGATAGAGAAGACTATTTTTTTCCAGTCTTTTAGATTCCTAGAGCTGTTTTCCTGTTTCTTTTCTATGCCTGAAGAGCATTCTTGCTCTCTTTGGGGATGTTA